ATTCCATTGATCTATGTGTCTGTCATTGTACCAGTACCATGCTGTATCCCTGTGGATTTTCTGACCCCAGCTCTTCACACATTTCATAATACTCTGCTTTGTCTTCATGAGCCACCCTTTAAAATCTTCTGTTCAGCTCTTTAGTGGTGTTTTGTTTTGTTTTTTAATTTATTCCCTTTGTTTTGACTTCTCTGTATTCGAGTGTAATATTGAGAGTCTCTTCTGCCATTCATTTTGATCTTTTCTTCCTCCTCTGCCTTTGAAATGACCTTTTGCTTTGTTTATGGATGATACCCTTGATGTTGTCCCGCAACTCATCTGGTCTCTTTGTTCATTTGTGTTCAATGTCTCAAACCTGCTCTTGAGATGGTTTTCAAATTCAGGTGGGATAGACTCAAGGTTATATATTTTAAAAAGTTTAATTGGCTAAAACCACAATATAGATAATGTAATATATTTTTATTTGGGGGATTTAAAAATTTTTGGTATTAAAATGTGTGCTTTATGAATTATAAAACTGTCACCATGCTTTGTTGGTGATCAGTCAGGCCTATTAATATTACACTCAATTCAGATATGTGAAATAAAAAATGATCTTTTATAAATTTTTAATTATTCCTATCTGATTTATTCTTTCAGATCATAAGGCCTATGGACTTTCTGCCCCCAAAGACCATGTAGTTACAGCAATAGAGTATCAAGGTATGGTATCTTACTGAGTTTTACTGACTCTGTGCTATGAGTTAAAATTGACTTACCCACAATGGGTAAACCTTGCTTAAATAACTTTTGAGGATGCATTGAGTGATATTATCTTCCCTGAAATCTATTTGTTAATTTCTTTCTCTGAGTTCACACTGATTCCTCTGCCTGCTATAGTACTCCATGGTGTTTCCACTTGAGAACTCCTACTGAAGAGCCATCTGTCTGCTCAGTGAAAATTGTAGGCACTCAAATGCAAAGACAAATGTACTGAGAAAGTGTCTTATGTAAATTGTCAAGAACAAAGAAAATCTGATTTATAAATCTGAAAGTTTGAGATCTATAAACATTCCTATGCACTTAGGTATGATGAGTAGGAATGGACATTGCAAAGATTTAATATGTATTTAATTTTAGGATATCTTAATTTTATTTTACTTAGAATCTATAATATTTTGTGATTTGTGTGTACATATTAGTCACGACTAATTCATTTTCTTGTCCTTTGTCTTTCTAAGGTCAAGAAACCATGAATCAGTTCCCTCTGGTCAGCCCTGTGTTCTGTGTCATTTCCTACAGTCAAAAGCAGAGTGAGCCTGGAGTCAGGCCCACTCTGCCAGGCTTGTTAGTGGCATGAGCAGCCTCAGGCAGCGTGAGCATCCAACAAGCAGCTGTAAATCAGAGTTCGATAGTATGTTTTTCCCTGCAGAAATCATTTCAGGTAGTTCTTCAAAACTATCAAGGAGTGTTAAATCTCTCTTTATGCTATGGAAAATAGGATGACTTTCAATTTAAGCACAAAGAAAGGGACAAAGATTAGCATCATCAAGCCCTAGGGAGGGAAATTAAATTCACAATGATTCTTTTGACGCAGTTCTTGAAAGTAATTGTACTACTATATGTTGCCATGCAAGGTTTTGCAAAACAAAGAATGACCTTTTTCCAATCCAAAGGAAACATTTTCTTTCAATGATGTAATCATCCTAAAAGGATATTTTGGTGCTTTTATCTGCTTTACTGGTTTTGAGAAAACAAAAATAATTTCTATATTCTTTGTAATCTAAGCAGAGATAATTTTGTAATGATGATGACATAAAGTATGAACTTTTATCAATCAAGGCAAGCTTACAACTATACTTAAAGAGGTATTAATCATGGGTCTAAGCAATAATGTCTGTTCAAGGAACATATACACATCACTCACTCCAGTGTGTAAGTGTATAATTCATTATATTTTATTCCTTATGATAACTTGTGAAATGACTGTTACTATTTTCCCTGTTGAACAAATGTAGACAGAGTTTAAAAAAAGGTAAATAATTTACCCAATATCACACACCTAATATATAACCAGGATGTGTGATAGCATAGATAATAATATATTAGAGTGATAGCCAAAAGTTGGCAGTACAAATCCACTAGCCACTGCTTGAATCAAAGATGGGTAGTCTTCCATAAAGATTGACAGCCTTATAAAGCCAATGGAGGGTTGCTATGGTTTGACTCAACTCAATAGCAATGTTTATATATAACCAAGGAGCCCTGGGAAGGTAATAGTTGAAGACTCAACTGCTCACCTAAAGGTCTGTGATTCAAACCCCCCACCACTCTATGAGAGAAAAGACCTGGTGATCTGTTCCTGAAAATTCACAGCCTATGAAATCCTGTGAGACTGCTTTTCTCTTCCCTATGGGATCCCTATAAGCTGAAATTGATTAGATAGAATACAATAAAAGGATATAACCTGTTGCCATCAAGTTGATCCTGACTCATGGCAACGTCAGTGCTCCATAGTGGGGTTTTTTGGTGGTGGTTTTTTTTAAAAAATTTATTTTATATTAATTTGCATGCAGAGTTTATATACATTGTTTTCCACACAGGATCATTCCCATTTCCTTTACCCATTCCTCTCTATACCCATCAAATTGTGAAACCCTATCCCCCGCCCCCCCCATCCTCACCCCTCTGTTCTTACATTCCCCCTCTTGGATCCTCATGTCCATTTTACTAGTTATCTTTTATTTCTATAGTAATGGTCTTATACAATCAAGTGACTCGATAGCACATAACAACAAAAACATGCAGTATTTGTCCTTATGGTACTAAGTCAGTTTACTTAGTGCAGTGCACTCCAGTCTCTCCCAAGTTATGTAGTGATTTTTCAAAATCATTGCTCCTGCATATTATTTCATCATGTGAAAGCACCACAATTTTTCAACCCATTTGATTGTAATTGGATATTTTCGTTCTTTCCATGTTCTTGTGATGGTGAATAACACTGCTATGAACCTTGATATACAAATCTCCATTTGTATTTCATTTCTAATTTTCTCGGGATATATTCTAAGCAGTGGAATAGCTGGGTCATGTGGAATTTCTATGTTCAGCTTTTTGAGGAAACACCAAACTGCCTTTCAGAGTGACTGTACCATTTTACAATCCCATCAACAATGTATAAGATTTCCTATCTTGCCACATCCTCTCCAACATTTATTACTTGTTGTCCTGTTAAATTTTGCCACTGCTACTGGGATGAGATGGTATCTCATTGTGGTTTTGATTTTCATGTCTCTTATTGCCAGTGATTTTGAGTATTTCTTCATAATGTCTGCTTGCTATTTGAATGTCTTCCTCTGTGAAAATTCTTTCCAAGTCTTTTGCCCATTTTATAATTGTAAGCTTTTTTCTTGTAGAGGATTCTGTAAAATTTATTATGAGACCCTTGTCTGAGATGGTATTGCCAAATGTTTTAATCCCAGTCAGTAGGTTTTCTTTCCAGTCTGCTGAAAAATGTTTTTGATGCACTCAGGGATTTAGTCTTTAGAAGGTCCTATGCACCAATTTTATCTTCTTCTGGTTGTATATTTCTGGTTGTATTTAATACCATGAGTTACAATTTCCAGTCTTGGTTTTCTTTGTCTCTTATGATCTTTATGGGTTTGGACTTTACCCCCTAGGTCTCTGATCCCTGTTGAGTTTGATTTTTGTGTATCATGGAAGTTGTGTATCTTGCTTCAGCTTTCTGCAGATAGTAGTCTAGTTTTGCCAGCACCATTTGTTGACAAGATTATTGTTTCCCCATTTGATAAGTTTTGTTTCCTTGGCAAGTATCAGTTGACCACAGATATATGGGTTAATTTCCAGATTCTTGATTCTGTTCCATTGGTCTATGTGTTTGTCATTGTACCAGTACCATATTTTGGTTATTTGAGTTGTGTAGTAGGTTTTGAGATCAGGGAGTCCTATGCCTCCCACTTCATTTTTGTTTTTCAGATGTGCTTTCCTGGTTTGAGGTCACTTTCCTCTCCAAGTAACCTTGCCAACTGCCTTTTCTCTCTCTTTGAAAAATTAATTAGGTGTCTGTATTGGTATTCCATTAAGCATGTACATTGTTTTTTGTAAGATTGTCATTTTTATTATATTGGGTCTTCTTATCCATGAACAGGGAAAATGTTTCCTTTTTTTTTTTAGGTCTTCTTGCAGAAGTATTAGTTTTCTTTGTATGGGTCTTTTATTCCTAAGTATCTCCCGTAATGTTTTTAATGACTAGTGTTTTTAATTTTTCAGAAATTGATTGCCAGTCTTTTCTTTCCAGGAGTATCTTGATGGACTTACACTATCAACATTTTGTTTAGTAGTTAAGCATTAGCTGTTGATACTGCTTAAGTATACCACTCAATATATAGCAGAGGTCTTACTGGAAAGCCTAAAGCCTACGCTTTAAACCACAATATTATAGGATGGTGTTTGCAAGGGCTAGATATAGAAAATTATGCTGACAACAAATATTATATTTTGGCTGAAAGGAGAGGAAAGTTCATGTTCTGTAGCTCCTGATTTCACTTGTTTTTTAATGGCCACATATTGCCTAGGTGATATCATTACGATCTGTTATAGTTTTCTTAGACAGTTTTAACAAAATGCCATAAATTAGGTAAAACAATAGAAATTATGTTATCACTGTTTTGGAGATTGAAACTCAAAAAAAATTCAAACTCATTTGCCATCAATTTAGAATTGACTACATAGTTGTTATAATTGTTTTTGGTAAGCTTACCATTTTTATTATATTGAGTCTTCTCATCCATGAACACGGAAGATTTTTTCCATTTTTTTTAAGTCTTTTACAGCAGGTTTCAAAGACAGTAAGTAGCATAGGAGGAATTTGCCCATCTTTCTCCTGTGGATTGACTGATGGATTTAAATCACTAGAGACGTATGCCTTTGGGTAACTAGTGCAATACCTTACACACTAGACCACCAGAGTTTTGTGTTCTAGAGACTAGAAGTCTAACATCAAGATGTTGACAGTGCCATGTTATCTCCAATTGCTCGACGGTAGAATCCATCCTTGCTTTTTCATAGTTTACAATAGCTCTTGGCATTCCTTGTCTTGTAATTCTGTCATTCAAATCTTGACAAGTCATAGTCCCTTCCCCCAAATATATCTGTGTGTCTTCTTTCTAATAAAAGGGACCGCTCATTAGAGTAGAATGCTTCCCAACTCATTATTACATCATCTTAATTATACCTGTACAGACTCCATGTGCAAAAAAAGATCATATTCTGAGGCTCTGGATGAATGTGAATTTTGTAAGATCACTATTTAACCTAATACACTCTACTTGGCCAAACATGGTAAGGAAATATGCTTTATTTGCCCCTACTTTCCTGTGTAGTGGGAAGGGAAAGGAAAGAACTTTGTATCTCTCATTGATGTCAAGTTGGAACCAACTCATAAAGGACCCTCCAGTGAGTTTCTGAGGCTATAAATTACATGGGAAGAGATTGCCTATCCTTTTCTGTCAGAGCATCTGATGGATTCCAAGTGCCAGAGAATAGTCACATTTGTATTAACAGAACAACTTCCTGTCAACTATACTACTAGAGCTTTTTAAGGGAAAAACATTATAGTCTTAATGATCTTTAACCAAGGATGCTTGGAAGATTTTCACATGATTCATATTGTTGTTGTTTTGTACCCTCAAGTTGAAACTGAC